GTATGCTGGCAAACCCAATAAGCCAGCATGTCCAGCTAGTATTTGGGGGGAGTATCAGCGTACTGAGTTTTCGTCTATTTATATGTAACTAGGTAGCCAGTTAATTAAAACTAAAAATAATAAATTAAATATTTTAAAATTTAAAACCGGCCTTTATACTGAAACCAAAACTAAAATCAAATCAATTGAAACATAATATTTTGGAAAGTGTGGATAAAGTACTTGTTGTCTGACTAGATGGATTTGTTTATATTTCATCCTGGCAGTCAGAGTAGAGTCTCTATTTATGGCACTTCTCTGTAAAGTGTTAGTTTCAGTTTCAGCAGTGATGAAACATTTTGCTTTTAATATGTAAAATATATTGAATATAGAGTAGCTATAGATAAAATAGTACAAAGCACAAAGTAAAATTCTATTTAGTGTGTTCTTGTTTCAAACTAACCAAGAGTAGAAATAATCTGGAAAAAAAGAGAACACACCAATCTGCCTTTTATGATTGTTTAACATGGTGTGTTGAACAATCATAAAAGGCAGATTTGTACAGTTTTACATGTAAAAGGTACGTAAAATTGTGTCCAGGGGAAATACCTGGAAAAATTCAATCGTCTGATAAGTTGGCATATTCAATAACCCAACAATGCCAAGTTAACGGAATGTCACTAATATACAATATATTATATTATTTTTCTTACTTCCAATTTTAAGAATTTTTGGTTCTTTTAGTTATTTAAATACTTTATTAATAATGGGCATCAAATGGGTATGTGTAAAGCAAATAATAACCATTCTTAAAAATAGTAATCCGAGAGAAAATATGCAGTTTAAAATAGTAGCTACGGGTAATTGTAATAAACCCCGTGGCTCTAATATATTACACAGAGGTATGATGCATTCTAGACATCATTTATGAATAAAAATTATAAAGTTTAATAATACTCACTATATTTGACTAATGAAAGGTCATTAACACTGTGAATGTTTATATTAGCATTTGCTAAATTGCCAGATCTGGACTTTCTAACTTGGGATTACACTTATGACCATTACGTGTGTTAATGTTAAACAACAACAACAATTAATGAAATTAAAGCACAAAAACTACAAAATTATAAGACGGTACTTATTATTAAATTAAAAATCATTCTATCAAGAAATAATAACTATTAATTAAAATTGATTTAGATCAAACAAATTATATTACTATTCTTCACAAACCAAACCAACACAGACCAATAAAAATGTCTTCCAATTGCTGAAAAGTTTTAAATTTTTAATAACTATGTTGTTTTTGAAACCGTGTTTTGCAAATATATTGGACTTCGAACTCACATTTGAGTTATAAATAAACACTTGGCTTTATTTCCATCATTTTTAGTTGATACGTGACAACAGCACGTTTCGGGCATAAAGCCCCTCATCAGTCAACTAAAAAAATACAATTTTTAAAAGCATTTAAACAAAAAATTTTTAATAACTACTTATTGTCACCATCATGCAAAAACATCTAAAACTGTCAATCTCATTATTGCCTACTTATAGCCTTGTAATTTTACTGCATCCAATGGTAAGTGTCATCTACCTCATTTACATTTGCCTATAGCAATCTTCGAACAGCTGTGGCTAATTGGTTAGTAATACTTTAAACCACAGTTATTTGATATTTGCTTAATTGTATGTTCTAAATTATTGTAACTATGTGAATGATAGTGTTACTCTCAAAGACAGTCAGTCTAACACAAAAAAAGTTCTGAAACTGAAGCTCAACAAGTAGTGGTGGATGATAATTAATCTCTTTTATGTTTGAATTTCATTTTTATCTTCCTAAAAATGAATTTCAAGCCTTTGTTGCTGTAATTTACACAAGTGTGAGTGGATGCAGGAACATTGAATTCCATTAACTTTAGTCAGAAAATTGGAGATTCTGAAACATAATGGCATATAATCATGTCTGCAAAATAATGAGGTTTCTTCACTTTGACATAAAATCTGCCTGCTCACAATAACTCAAGGATAAATTTGCCTTAATTCATTGATAATTATTGATGAGCAGCACCAGAAAAACAAGATGTCCGTTCATGAAATTTATGCCTTCCAAGTCAGATAAATATAGTCAAAAATATTGGCTTGCTGTGGATATTAAGACAAAATATCTGATAAACATTCTTTCCCAAATATGGGAACCCTAAGGCATGGTTATACAATCAATGACTTTGAATACGTTATATTGTTTGATAAAACATTTTTTGAATAGTGGAAGAAATGTAAACATGGACAATTACTTTATTTCCATAGAACTGGCAAAAAATTGAAAACAAAAAAAGTCTTGTGGACAATGAATAAAACACACAGAGACTATATCCTTGGCAGTGAAGCATGAAAGTGAAAAATGACAACTATTTATCATGGAAAAAAGTCACTGTTTTTCCCTTTCTTCATTCTGCAGTTGTTACTGCAATTAATGAAAAGAAAATATCAGAAACTATATTATAATGTTGATATTCTAGAAAAAATATAAATAACAATATCGTATCAAGGCGTCATCTAAAAAGAGACTTGAGCATTCATTTTATAATATACTATATTTAGTCACAACAAATGGTACAACTTATACAGAAGTGGGGCATAATCAAAAATTTCTTGAAAAAAATTTATACAGAAGCTTGCTGAAGTATTTTGAGAGGCATTTCTCCAGCAGCATATAGAGCAGTGGTGGCAAACCTATAACCCATGGATCAGACACTGACCCATGCAGACTTTTTAAATGACCCACGCGAAACAATACAAGTTCCAGACCATATCAAACAGAATGGTTTGATAAATATGGTGTGATTGAAAAGAATAAAACAACTTTGTGTGTAATTTGTAATGAAACAGTCACTTCAATACATACAATGTAAAAAGACATTTTGAAAAGTTGCATTCTAACCTCAGTCTTTCAACAGATGAGGAAAAAAGAACATATTTTTTTACAAAAGAAAAAAGAGAAACATTCACAAACCAGTGTTTTAAAAACTTTTTTGATTCCAAAAAATAACATTACTGCTGCTAGTTTTCAAGTTGCCCATTGCATTGTTCACCACGGGAAACCTCTTTCAGAAGGAGAATTTGTAAAACAACAAGCGTTTTTAGAATATAGTACTACTTTATTTGCAGATTTTAAAGAAAAAGACTTGATTATAAAGCATATAAATGAGTTACCAATAAGTCACAATACAATTAAAGATCGAGTAGTAGAATTAGAAAGAAATATTTTTTTCGCAAATACACAACCACTTAAATTATGCAGAAATGTATTCAATTGCTTTAGATGGGAGTAATGATGTAAATAGTTATGCACAATTAACAGTTTTTGCTTGATATAAATCAGGCAATAAAATGAAAGAAGATCTAATGAAACTAATAATGTTGAAAGGAAAGTGTACCAGTCTTGATATTTTTAAAGAATTTGATATTGCATTTAAAGAAACGGATATTGACCTACAGAAAATTGTTTCTATAACAGACGGTGCACCCAATATGGTGGAGAAAACCATTGGTTTTATTCAGTATTTTAAGCAAAATACACATTCTCTGATTGAATTTCATTGTATTTTGACACCAACAAGTTCTATGTGCAAAGCAAGGCTTAAAAACATTTTCCAATGTAATGCCAATTGTAATAAAAGTTGTCAACTTTATAAATGCAAGAGGCCTTAATTAATAAACGACAATTTGCACAATTATTACAGGAAATTGAGTGCCAGTATTCAGGGATTTTGACGTAATGTTTGATGGCTCAGTTGCTTTGAAAACCATTTTCAAAACACAATAATTTTTGAAAATACGCTTAAAATTCAAAAAAATGCAATTAAAAAATATTTAATGATTATACAGGAAATAAAGCAAGCTTTTGAGGAGAGATTTAATCAATTTAAAAGTTTGGAAAATACATTTCACTTTATTTTATATCCATACAAAACAAAATTCAAAGCAATGGAGGTAACCAAATTTATGTGGCTTGTTATCCATGATTTAGAAATGGAATTAGTTGAATTTCAAAGCAGCATAGTGTGGAAAAATAAATTTGAAAACTTGATTTCCGAAATAGAAGGAAAAATGTCTGAAAGTAGTGCAGATAATAATGATCCCACACTAAAAATTGAAAATATATTATTAAACGTATGGGATTCTTTACCAAATAATTTTATATCAATGAAGAAACTTGCTAATGCTCTTTTAACACATATTCGTGTGAAAAATTGTTTTCTTCAATAAATTTTGTAAAATATACCAATAGAAATAAACTTGGAAATGAATTGACTGCGAAATGCGTTAAACTAATGAATACGGAATACGAACCTAATATTAAGAAACTATACGAAAATAAACGACAACAGATTTCTCATTAAATATACTTCAACTTTATTATACATACCCATACCTGTAACTATATCTATTAATAAGTAATATTTCATAATATATATGTGATTTTCTTTATTCCTTGTTCATTCAAGTACTCAGTGCAAATGCAACTGTTGACTGGGCATAGTGTAACCTGGTGCGATAATTCATGGCATCACCCCACCATTGATATCAATTTTTTCACGTCCACCTTTATTTTTTGCTCTTCACTTGCAAAAGTAAAAGTTGTAAAACAAAAAGGAAACGTAAACTTTTTAGAGGATTTTAAAAGTGAGAAAAAAAAAAAGTAGTTTTTAACCATCTTCCCCTCCTCCTTTCCAAGTGACCCACAAGCTAGTACTAAAAAAAATAATGAACAAAATTTGACCCACTTCTCAAAAAGGTTTGCCATCACTGATATAGAGTGAAGTAGTTTTTTTAATATTTGGCATTTATTAAAAAACAATGAGCAAAACAATACACAAGTACTCAGAGTATGCAAGAAGCTTGTCTGAAATTTGTATTGAAAAAAACTAGTCATCATTTTAAGTTATATGGAAAATAAACATAGCTTTTCATTAAATTTTGTTTAAAAACTACATTATTATAATAATGTAGTTTTAAACAAATAATTCCAAAAAGTCATTATAACAAAGTGTAAAAACTGGACCTAAATACAGAAAATTATCATCATTTCTGGGAATTCTATGGTATAAGGTAAGTCCAGTTGTTTTAGTGTAAAGAATCTCCAATTTATTGGAAGCAAATATGTAACATTTTATTGGTATTCGTGTTGTGAAGTTATAAATCCAACAATAGCTGTTTGCTCTCATAAATATCAATAATTTCACCTCAACCAGAATTCCTTTAAAAATAATAATAATAGTAATAATCATGTTAAACTATATTTTTTGTGAGAGGCATATTTTCTTTTATACATTAAAACACATTAAGAATTGCATTTGAGAATGAATCTAGACTTAACACAAGCTGTCATATTTTCATTTCAGATAAGTTTTCCTTGTCAATTTAAAAAGTATTTTTTTTGGTAAGGTCAAAAACACACAAAAATGTGTATGTGAATAATTTGAATCTTGTGAAGTTAGTTTTAATATCCAAGTGTAATGTTGCATACATGATAGGTACCTCAGGCAGTTATCAAAAATTAGTAAGGACTTCTTTTGAACATTTTTTTTTTGTAATTTTCATTATATCTGAAGAGTTTTTAGAAACTTATCAAACACAAATGCATTCCAATAAATAATGAAATAGATTTTATATTAGTTTCTCCCAACTGAATCTTTGTTGTGAACTACAGTAGAGCGTCGTTTATCCGAATCAATTGGGGACTGGGGTTGTTCGGATAACTTATTTTTCGGATAACCGATTATGTACGAAAAAATATATTAACCTATCCCGTGTTGAAATTTTTCTCCGTTGCGTGTCGCTTCACGTTGAATTTTCGTCGNAAATGAATACACTTGGTTAAATTACAGATACTGAATATATAATAATAAAATTAAATGCATGGAACTTCCATTAAAATATTTATAACTACGTACCTTTTTCCTAATAAGAGACATCACACCTATACGAGTAAGTACATGTTGACGAGATAAACCTTCTCTAGGAACACCGTCAGCAAATGTTTCGGAATTATCTGCTCCCGGCTCGCACAAATGGCGCATAAATAAAGAAACGTAAGCTTTGAAATTCTTTTCAGACTTTCCTCGCAAGTCTCTAACCAGCCTAAGAAAACAAAAAATTGGATTTGACATTTTATTACAATATTTAACATAAAATTAAAAATATGCAACAGATTAAAGCAATAAACTGAATTAAAATAAATATGAAATATTAGAGAAGATTCACATTCTTTCTATTTGTAGCATTATTGTAAGATCAGTAATAATTTAATTTTACACACAAACACTAAAAATATAAATATTAAGTATGCTAATGTGTAATGCATGATGACAATCTCCAGGTCCTACATAATTATTTAAAAATAAAATTATATTTTAATAATAAACTTCCTCATAGTAAGGATCTTTTCATGTAACCAGTTCTGCTAGAATTTTATTATCTAAATGAAATTATCATCAAGTTCATATTTCATATAGTCTTAAGACAAGCTTTCTTCTCATATTAAATAAATATTAGTTTAACGAATTGACACTAAGTCTCTTTTTAAACATTATTCCTTTAACTCACCATTGAGAGTTGAAAGCATCTTGTGGAGGCATGCCATATCTCATAATAGCATTTAAGAAAGCCTTACGTTGTCTTGCATTGAAGCCAAGAACCTACAAATGAAATTGTTACCGATTAGAAAATCAAAAATTAGTGTCATTAACATACATAACAGAGACACACAAAACAAACAGTTATAAATTAATTGAAAATAAAACTAGCCTATAATAAAATTCATGAAATATCACCATCCAGATAAAAATAGAATTAATAGATTTTGTGGCACAAAGCTGGCACTAAATAGCTTTATTTAGAAATTAAAATTATATAAAATTATGTCTTAAAGTTAATTCTACATAGAAAAATTCAGTTAAACAAATGAAGTATATTGCAATATAATGTAAATGTAATGGAATGCCTTTGAAGAAGTTTTAAACTTAAAAAATTCATTCTAAATTTTCCAATTATTTCTATTTGTCCACAAATAATTTTAGTCATCATTTTACATGAAGACATTTTTATGTGGACATTTAAAAATAATATATGAAATACTATCAAATTATCCTTTTTTATTCTAAACAAAAAACATTAGCTTGCTACTTACTTTCTCTCATCTGACTCATTAAAGTTTAGTTTTTTGGAATTTCTCTTAGATCTACTAAGATAAATGCGTTTATCTTCATATATAATTAACAGTTTATTTGTAAATAAGTTAATTGTCTAACTTCTAATAAAAAGTAATCTAGCTATTAGATATGTTTGGTTATCAAAAAGCAGACTATTTATGCTCTTATCTATGTTTATCTTTAGTTTTTCTCATTTAAATTACTAAAAATAAGCCAATGTTTATTGCTATAAGAATAAATTCCAAGTATCAAGTTATATAGCTAAAAATGAATTCACTTCAACTCACTTCAATGTTTCCTCCAACCCTGGCCAACAATGGAGGTAGAGGTTTATCTTTGTCATTTTGCAATGAACGGCTTTTCCTCCTAGTATTCTTTTCTACAAATAAAAAAAGTATTAAATTAGTTTAGTAAATAGAAGGTTAATTTTATCAAAAAGTTTCAATTATTGTATAGTATTTTTAATTTTAATGAAGAGATTATTAAACTGAATAAATATCATTTAAGTGAGAAAAGCATACAAGTAAAACTACTCTTAAATTGAATTGTAGAATTAAGTATTTATTTGCATAATAAAAGTTAACGTTAATGCTAACATTACTTCAGGCTGTATTATTGTAATATCAAAATAAACCTTACCTTCATTCTTCTCTTCAAAGTCATCATCATCTTCATTGTCATCTAAAATAAATTAAATTTATCATCCAAAAAAATTGCCTTAAATCTAATTATTTCAAGTAATTATTAAAAAATTTAAGCTATGTTTTTGGTATTAATAAAATAATGTGAAAAAGATTTTTGATTTTGATATTTTTTCAATGCCAAATAAAAACAATTAAAAGTTCTATGTATCAAATATTAATCTAATCAATACAATAATCAATGAACTTGTTTAAACAAGACAGAGTTTGAATCAGGATCATTACAGGTAATTCCATCTATGATTCCCTGCCCAATTATAATATTCTTCCCTGGCCTATTAAGATCTCTGCATTTCCTCTTTCCATTATGTAATATTCGGCAAGTCTATTTAATTTAAGCCCATTTCTCATGCAAACGGTGCACATATAAATATTTTTTTTATTAAAAAACACTTTATTCACTCATAAAAATCAAAAATCTTTGCATAAAGTTGATTACATAATTATCTATGTCATTTCTACACCATATAAAAATAATTTCATGATTTTATTTAAGCTAATTTGTAAATTTTATTTAAATAAGAAAAAGATTTGCATCACAAAACAAATTTTCTTAAATCAAAAAGGCAGGAAATTCAAAATAATTTAATCAGAATAAACCGTCACAGCTGCACACCTCCACTACCAACCATTTTAAATACAAACGTAAACCCTCTATCCAACAAAATTTTTAGATCATCATGTACAGTTTATGACATGTAAGCATGACAAATCTTTCCATTCTTATGGTTGCTCCAGTTTTAGTTGACTCCTCTATACCAAACTAAATTTAGACACACATACAGGTCAAAAACAAGTGAGAGCAACAGATGAATTCCAGGTATTTGCAATTCCCTGACTTTCCCTAACATTTGATGCCATTCACTGACTTTCCAGGTCTGTATGGACCCTGTTAAATTGCAAGTTGTTTAGATAAAAACTTCTCATTTATCTATATTTCTTCCATAACTAGTTTACTATTTAACTTAAATTTACACTTAATACAGTAGACTCCCCTATAGCACAGTGAAAAAATTGCGATCGTGTTCATATAACAAGCTAAAAGAATGAGACAGATTGTCGTGTTGCAACGGGATTGGTCGAATCTGAACCAATAGTGGACGAGCAACCAAACTACTTGCCGCCGTCCAGCCCCATGCGTATATACAGAGAGTTTAGGCAGGAAAATTGAGTTTACTATTGTCTGTACAGTATATAAATTAGGTACTGTAAGCCTAATACTGTAATTTTATGATTTTTACGTTATCTAAAATTTTGTCTTTAGTCATCAGAATAACTTATCAGGAAACACGTCCGCCATTCAATGAGCCACTCCACGACCAAAACAAGCTTAAGCAATGGCATCTTCAAACGGTGCACACTTGTTAAGTATTCCTACAATTTTTTGTTTATAGCATAGTTTATATGGATTATTCCCAAAAAATTATATGTGATTTGGAAATGTTCGAGTCAAATTAGTCTAGAATCGATTAATTATATGGAAGAAAACCTTTCAAATAGCAGTAACCCCTAAACTGCACAAGTGCCAGGCTGTGATTGGATCATGTATTTAAGTGACTCGTACAACATAGAATTCATATAACACGGAACATATCTACCATGTTATAGGGGTCTACTGTATTACTATGATATTAAATTTTTTATGGAAAAATTGTGTTATGAAAAAGTTATAAGATTGTCATAAAAATTCATTACCATTAGATTAGATGAAGTTACAATGATCTTACACAAATGTGTATAAACACAATATTACTAATATAAAAGCGTGTGTTTGTATTAGCTATAGAAAAAACGTTTTATCAATTTCAAAATCGATCACACTTATGTTGCAGTGACATCAGTGACCATATGACATTTGTGCTTGGCAAAGAAATTTCCCTAAAGTTGCATTTTTACATATTTTGGCAAATAGCATATTTTAAACTTACTTCATTAAATTTAAATAAAGGATGGCCTTTATAAAGGTTGAAAAAGTTTGTTTTCAGTAAATGTTTTTGTTCTCTTAACTGCATTATGGTTTTGAGGTGTCCTTATATCACATTTAAACTTTAAAAATGATAACTGCACCATGTCATTTCTATAACAAATTTTTAAAAAAAATCTTTCCATAGGGAACCCATGATGCTCTATTATCCAATTAGAAGAAACAACCTAACAAGCCTGTTATTTAGAAAGTTATTGCTCATTGAATTAACATATGCAGAATTAATCTTTGTTTAATCAATGCGGAATTAAAAGACTTATTCTTTTTTTTTTGGACAAAATAAAGCCTAGGGGAAAGCACAAGAGTAAAATTGGGCAGGTAAATTCTAAATCTAAAAGATTAAGAACAACTGAGACCCTGAAGGCCATTGACTTGAACAATGTCAAGTAAAAATGGCTTTGTTAAGGGCTGCAGAAAAGCATAACATCAAGCTTGACTTGAAGCTCTTCTCAATTCTTCAATCTCTATTTCCTCATAAAAATATTCCATCATGCTTGATGGGAGAATTTCTAGTTTATTAATACTATTAATTATTTTGTTGTTTTTCCATGAAAACATTTTAATTTACTTCATGTATATATCCATTTTGTCTAACGTATTATTTTTATTAAAACTAATTTTTTTTTAACTTTTAGATGTGGAAACATTATTAAATTTACTATGCAATATCTAATATAAAGTCAGAGTTGCAAGTAAAATCAAAATGATACTCATTATTCATTGTTTAGTAATTTAGATACTTTAAATATTGTTCTTTTATCAATTAATCTTTAAAGATTTATGATACTGTATAAAGAATCAATAAAACATTAACATTTGTGAATTTTGTATTTAAGTTAGTAGCATATTTAAGTTTTATATAAATTAAAATTGTATCAGCATTAATTAAATTAATTTACTTAAAAAAATATATTAAGTATATCATTTCATATATTACTATGATATATTATTTTAAGTAATTATGTGAACCATTTTAATGAAAACCTACCCGATGGTACAGAAAATTCTGAATTATAATCAGATAAGTTATCTTGCCACGTCGAATCGTCCTGCGGTCCCATCGCATCATTATAATTAACTTGTTTACGAACTCTCTTTCCTTTACCGAGAGAACGAGCCATATCTTCTTGCTGCTGTTCATAGTGATGCCTAAGAAGCTTTTCCCAATATGCAGGATCTGCCGATTCAACTTCTTGTTTTAAAATTTCAGTCTCTGGTTCTTTTTCTTCTGCTTCCTTTGTTACATAAGCAGCAACTTTGAAAGAACTTAAGTATTCGTTTGCCCACAATTCTTTCTGTTCAATTCCCTCTTTTGTACGATCTAATAATCCATCAATGGCTTTTTCGTCGTAATGAATAAGATCCTCTGTAAGATAAAATTTATTGCATTATTAACAATAGCTACACCAAAAATTAATACTCCGATTCTATTAACGTTACAAATTAAATTCAAAGTGAATAATTTAAATAAATAATTATTATATATATATAGCAATACCATATTACTTTGAATATAAACCACCCTGGAATTTACACTGCAGCAGGAGTTTAATTAATTAATTAAAATTGGAAAAAAAAATAAATATGATTTTATATATATGATTTGAGTCAATTGCAGGGCGTCTTCCTTTTTTTAGGCTCGGAGAATGATTTTCACAAAACATTTCCTTCATGGCTTCAACAATGCACACTCTCTTCAGCCATAAATCTTTTACCAGCTGTGCAATTTCCAATTTCTTCAATGCACAATATAACTTTTCTTTTGAATTCAGCATAATATGTAATGTTTTTCCATTATTGGTGAGTATGGGTAACAAAAAAAAATTAAAATCCAATTCTACACAGCTGCTATCAAACAGCAACGGCATTAAATCAGAGTGCAAATGGGAAATCACCAAATAAACCGCTATCAACTATCGTAATACTACATGCACGTATAGACTATAAATCAAAGACCCGCTTGTTCAGAAGTGGGAAATTGGCAGAAATAAGTTAAAATATTTGCTTTGAATTTAACTGCACCCTAATTTTAGACCTTAAAAATTGTAATAAAAAGTTCAGTTTAAATTCGAAGTAATAAGGTATATTTGTTTATTTCTTACACTGCATATTATTTCTCCAAATGCAATTTAAGAAATTATAGAAATTTATTAATTTGAATTATCAGTTATATTTTTATGTAATAAAAAGAAATGTTGAAATGTGCAAAACAATATAAATTTAATATTTACTGTGAATTGAGGTAAGATAATAAAATANTTGCTCTTGCTAAACTTATCATCATGAGAAATGTTGAGTTTAGAGTTTTTAGTTCCCCCATTGTCTATTCACTACCCATTTGTATATCTATGTTATGTAGATCAGTGGATCCGTGGATCAAATGGTACCGGGACATCCAAGGAACATTAAATTACTGGTATTTCCATTTTATTTACTATGGTGTATTTGTCTCGGGTTTGTGCGACTTTTAACAGACGACAGAACAACGGAATAAACTAGACATAAAAAACACACTTCGGGTGTCATTGTCTCCAATTACAACCATATGGAACCGTCTTGTTGCAAAAAAACAAGCTCAGGGTTCTCATTGATTTAGTGTTCTAGTGAGTTAAAATGTTAAATCTCATTATATTCATTTTTTGGTGTAACTGTATTTTATTTTGAAGGCATGTTTAAATACAATTAAATTAAAATTATTAAATTAAATCAATCTAAAATATAAACAATCAACGTTCCCCCTCGGTGGGTCACGGTAAAATATCAAACGTTGACCAGTCCGTGGCGATAAAAAGGTTGAGGACCGCTGATGTAGATGATATCTTGTTTGCTTGGGATGACTCTGAGAAAGAGTTGTACATCTTCATAGATATGTTATCTTCTATCTATACAACAATTAATTTCTCTGTTGAGCAAGAACAAGGTGAGGAGATGTCCCTTTTAGACTTACTCATTCACAGAGTACCTGCCAGGCTTATGTTTTTTGTCCATCACAAGACTAGTACATTACAACAAATCGTCCCTACTACTACCTTTCCATGCTTTATAAATTCTGTTATTTCAGCTCTCATATATAGAGCATTCTTAGTTCCATCCACCCAAATATATATATATATATATATATACAAAGAGATGCAAATTATAAGGTCTGTTCAAAAAGTTCCAGAACTTTGTGTTTCCACTTTTTGAAACAGTCTGGAATGCTTCTTCCTGAATGGTCGTAAGCTCATCCATCAAATTTTTCTTTATCTCTGGAACGGTGGCAAATCTTTTTTCCTTTGAGCAGGATTTTTAATTTGTGAAACAGGAAAAAGTTGCATGGGGCTAGGTCAGGTGAGTACGGTGGGTGGGGAAGCACAGTGGTCTTGTTTTTGGCCAAAAGCTCACGAGTTCTGAGGGATGAATGAGCCGGCACATTGTCATTGTGGGGGGAAAAAATCATTCGCTGCTCCTCCAAAGTTTGGGGCGTTTTCACATGATTTTGTCTCTTAGTTATTTCATAACCCTCAGGTAGTACTCCATGTTAACTGTATGACCTGTAAGTAGGTATTCATGATGCACAACCCCCTTCGCACAAAAAAAAAAAAAAAACGGTCAACAACATCTTAAAATTTGAATGAACTTATCAAGATTTTTTGGGGCAGGGAACGTTTCACCCACCTGTTGTGAAGATTGCACTTTTGTTTCGATGTCATATCCATAAACTCATGACTCATCATCTGTTATGATCCTGGACAAGGTTTCATCCTCTTCAGCTCGATCAAACAGTTCCTGACAGATTTGAACTCAAAGTTGTTTCTGGTCTGCTGTCATCAGGCGAAGCACAAATTTGGCAGCAACTCGATGCATCCTCAATTTTTCAGTCAGGATTTCATAGCACGAATCAATCGAGATGCCACACTCTTCTGCAATTTCCCTGACAGTCAAACATTGATTTGCATGAACGAGATCATTCACTTTCTCGATGTGGGGTCATCAGTTGACGTTGATGGTCGCCCGGAATGCTCATTGCCTTCCACTGATTGTTTTCTTTCTTGAACCAGGTAAACCACTCATAACACGTAGTAAGTTTCATAGCATCCTCACCATAAGTCTTGGTAATCAACTCAAAAGTTTCCACGAAAGATTTCCTGAATTTTACACAAAATCTCACAGAACAATGCTGCTCCTTCAAAGAGCTCATTTCCGTGGATCCAATTTTTCTCCAAACCCTGAGAACACCCACCCCTTCACACAAATGGCCATAACTAATCACCAAAACAAGATATCAACAAACGGATTGAAGGAGGTTACTCAGAAGGCTTCCATGGACACAACACCTCCAAGCAGATTAAAAAATAACCAACTGGAAATGCACTATTCAAAACTTTTTGAATAGACCTCGTATATTAGACACAGTATGCAAAACAAGATTTTTCCCGAGACAATTCCCCAGCAAAATTTAAGTGTATGTTGTAAATACAGAAAAAATTCAATACCTTTAAGCTTACCTTTGCCGTCATCATCTTTAAATAATTGTTCGGTACCGAACCTTAATATATCATCTAATTCTTGTTTAGACATTGTGTTTGCTCTGCTTCCTAGTCCAGGTCGTACTACTAAATGAGTCAACATCATTTTCTTTTTAGCCACCTAAACATTATTATAAATAAAATTCTAAGATGTCAAATTTTGAATAAGCAATTTAAAAAAAGATCACATCAGAATAAAATTATTTGTAATGCATTTAATTGGATAAATTTAATAAATGCCAATTAATTCATTTCCAATTACAAATATAATACTGCAATCCAGAAGTAATTTTAAGATGGATTTATGGCAAAACATTTATGTCAATATATGTGGAAGATGTACCTTATACAATTTTTCTACACCCTTTTCAATATTAATTACATTCTCCTAATTTTAGTACTTAAAAATGACAATTTAAGAAGATAAACAGTATAAAAACTGACACACAAACTGGAAATATATCCCAAATTAGAACACAGCTATGTTTGAAAACAGTTAAAAGGATAAAGCTGTTTTTCTGTTCTATGCAATTTTTCCTGACGAGGGCCTCTGAAAGACGGCCGAAAACATTTGAACATTAAACCTTTTTATTGTTCATTTGCTTGAATTATCACTTAGGTGTGAAGTGATTGTTTTGATAAACAGTATACAATATTTCTGAAAACTCCATTCAGTCATAATTCCTATTCTCTATACCTCACGTAATGAAATTTTATTAAATACTAAAATTACTACTGGATAATCTAATTATCTCTAAAATTCAGAAAAGCTAGATAAAGAAATTAATTATTTTAAATAACAAAAATAGTTACCTGTGTAATACGTTCTTCTACAGATGCCCTTGTCACAAACCGATATATCATAACCTTATTTGCTTGACCTATTCTATGAGCACGACTAAATGCCTAAAAAAATAATAAAATTAAAATTTTATTTATGAAAAACTTTGATAGTATTTTTCATGATTATGCAAAAATTCTCTGCAAAAATTTATGTAACACTGTGTTAGAATCATCCTCCAAAAGATATA